GGGGGGGGGGGGGGGAGGTGCAGAGCCCCGACCGAGCCATGAACGTCAGACAACCAGGGCGGTGGACACGACAAAGAGCACTACCTGCCGTAACACCATCGTGCTATCGTATCGTGCTGTCGCGAAGAGAAGCCCATCCCTAGAGGGGAACAACAAAAAGCAGTGGTGGAAAGCACACCCAGAGCCCAGACAGAGCGGGACATACAACCCTATCGAATCAAACACCGAGAGCGACACATCCCCTCCGGCCGAACGAAGCGGGAGGCCTACCACGACCAGAAAATACCTGCCCCCATCAATCCTTCACGTCACACGCCCCTCCCTCACCTTGCCCATCCCCATCTCGTCGGCGAGAATCCCTCCGCGACATCCCAGCGACGCGGGCGGGAACTCCCTCTGGAACCGCCTGGAGTAAACGTTCACGAAGAAGGCCTCGGGTTGCGACAGCACCAGCTGCGGGGTCCCCTTCTCCTCCCCACTTCTGGCATTATCACCATCATCACCATCATCCATACCACTGTCGCCGAAAAGGTCGAGACTGTCTCCAGAGGCCTCCTTCCGGACCACGATCGAAGCGATCGAAGCCGCCGCTCGCCGCTCCCACAGCGGGTGCATCGCTACCCCGGGCCCCCCGCCGCAGTCGGCCGACCCCCCCTGTTTCGTGTTGACCGACGAAGCCCCCCCCCAAGACGCCACGCGAACGCGCCCGTCCCTGATGGCGACGTCGCCGTCGCCGCCGCCGCTCTCCATCTCCACCGCGCCTTCCCCTGCATCGGCGGCGGCGGCCGCCGCCGTCACCGTTGACAGTCCCGTGCAGTCCTCCTCGGTCACGTACCGCTTCTTCTCGCGCTGGATCATCCACGCCAGCGCCTGCCGCTGGTACCGCCGGAGGGCCAGCCCGTCCACGAAAAGCCTCGGGTCCCGGGCCTCCGGCATCTCGCACAGCTGGGTCTCGTCGTTGTAGAGCTCCTTGAGGTCCTCCTCTCGGACCTCCTCTTCCTCCTCCTGCTCCTGCTCTACCTCGTTCCGCTCCTCCTTGGCTAACGTCCTCTCGGCCTGCTGGTGGTCGGCCTTGCCTTTCTCGGCAGCAGCAGCAGCAGCCTGCTGACTCTTCGGTTGTTCTTGCTCGATGTGACCTTCGGGTCGTCGTCAGGTCCAAAAAGAGGAGGACGGGCGGAGGGGGGGGAAGGGGTCACCATCGATATTTCTCCCGCAGCCTGCAAGTGTTGTTGGTCATGTGGAGGAGGGAAGTCGGCACGGGCCAGGAGGCCCACAAAACTTCGACGCAAGTTTGGAGCGAAAACATGTCCGACAGAACTCCCTCGTAACCCAGCTGAAATTCCTCCGCACGCCCCCAAACATACAACAACCGTCATATCTACCGTATAGTATGACTATAGCAAGAAGTCACATCCGGGGGACGTCTTCTTTCGGAAACGACATGATGATGCTTCCAATAGTGTGTGCACCACGGTGCGCAGCAGAACGATTTAGCCGGGAAAATGGACGTCGAGATTTTTTCCCATGAGGGGGAGGCTGATGGTGTGCCGTGCATAGCAGGGAAAAATGCATTCGTACAGGATGTCTGCGCTTGTAAAAGACAACACGCAACCACCAGAGATAACGAACTATCGAACCCGTTACACCCACCTGTGTGGGCGAACTGCAGGAGGCAGTACGCGCTGCGATAAAGCTCCTCGTCTGCAACAAAAAACGCGCGCGGAGTCGAGTAAACGTACAACAGTCCATGTGAATCGAGGGGGAAACAATTGCCAAAGCAAGATGGCACCGTTGCTTCCGAGACAAAGAAAACAACAAACGAAGCTCTAGCGACGCAGGCACAGGGGACTAGGCACTTGGATGGCAAAACAAACGAACAACACATAGTCATGCTGTGCCTCCCCCGTACTGGCGCCACTTGTGCCACATCGTACCGGGGTCCAAGGCGAACAGCCCCTCCTCGATCTCGATGGACAGCATGAGCGGCACCTCCGCGAACTTTCCCAGGCCCGGCAAATCGCACACCGCCTCGGCGTGGGCCTTTGCCAAACCCTCCTGCAGCAACGGGGCCAGGAACGCACACACCTGGGTTTCTCGCGGCACGGACGAATTCGTTTGGTAAGGCCAGCAGGAAAGAACGCGCGCGGGACGGGCGGGAAAGAGGAGGGTGGGCGGGCCCGCCGGTGCCTTGGTCAACCAGCGACATATGGTACGTATGAATCCCTGTCCAAAGCGTCACACACTTGGAACACACCCAGCTTTCGTATTACCTTTCGGCCAACGTACTGTCATGCAACCCACCATCGTAGCCGGGTGAGGGTAGCGTCGAAGTTTCGTTTCGTTCCTTCCTCCCCTCGGCTGCCTCCCCACCCACGGGCGGGAAAGAGGAGGGTGGGTGGGCCCGCCGGTGCCTTGGTCAACCAGCGACATATGGTACGTATGAATCCCTGTCCAAAGCGTCACACACTTGGAACACACCCAGCTTTCGTATTACCTTTCGGCCAACGTACTGTCATGCAACTCACCATCGTAGCCGGGTGAGGGTAGCGTCGAAGTTTCGTTTCGTTCCTTCCCCCCCTCGGCTGCCTCCCCACCCGCCCCCCTCTTCTCCCCAGGCCCTCTCCAGAGTCGCGGACTCTGTGCATTGCGATATGTGAGTACCTACCCCCCCCCCCCCCCCCCCCCCCCCCCCCCCCCCCCCCCCCCCCCCCCCCCC